CACCATTTGTCAAGTTCTTATTTGATGGACCCTCATTTATAGAAGTAACATATTTTCAAGTTATTAAATTTATAAAAAATAAGGGTTCTCAATGTAAGAATCACAAATCTCCCCCATTTGAATGAGTGGAGGAGGATGTCACCATTTGTCAAGTTCTTATTTGATGGACCCTCATTTATAGAAGTAACATATTTTCAAGTTATTAAATTTATAAAAAATAAGGGTTCTCAATGTAAGAATCACAAATCTCCCCCATTTGAATGAGTGGAGGAGGATGTGTCACCTCACTACCAAGCATAAAATTTGTGCTTGGTACCAAGCATACCAATTTTTCTCATATATATATACTAGTCGTGAACACCGTGCAAAGCACACACAACATATCATTTTTTCCCGCTACAGTTAATCCAGATTTTAAATGCTACAGTATTTTTTTAAAATTTTTTTGGATTGCGATAGTTCCCGCCTCTACTACAGTTTTTAAAAAATGCTACAATATTTATATGTCCTATAGTAATATTTTTTCTCGAAAAACACTACAGTGTCTCATTTCCTATTTGCTACAGTGATAATGCTACATGAATAGTGAATCTTGGTGTAATGACCGTAAATTTCTAATATTGGTTTAAATAATTTTCTGGTATTTAAATATTAAATATTATTTTTCTAAAAGAGTATTTGTATTTTCCCCAATTTCTTTAGAATTTTCTACGATTTAAAAATACGATATTATGTTATTTTAATAAGTTTTGCTAATTATAAATTTAATCGTTTTGGTGAAAATTTTAAATAAATAGTTAATTATTCATCATTGTTATTGTTATTTTGACCATAAATTTTAATATTTATTTGGAATAAATTTTATGATATTTTTAAATTATTTAAGGGGGTATTTTCCCTGTGTTTTTCCTCTCACCGGTGTTCACTCTGTATACCTCTCCCCAATTCACGCAAACCCCTTCGCCTCGTGTTTTCCCCCAGCTCTCAACCCACGTCCTCCCAACCACCCTATCCCGTACAATCTCTCTCATTAAATTCTTCGGCAGTTCTTCTCTCTCTCCAATCCCACACTCAATCTATCTCTCTCTCTCTCACTCACTCTCAATATTATTCTCTCTCCTTATTTTAATCTAACAAAATCTCTCACTCAATCCCTCACCATACTCTCAGCTCTCCCATTCCCCAATAAACCCAACAAAGCAATCTCTCTCTCTCTCATGTTCTCTCTCCATCTCTCTCTCCAGCTCATCATCTCTTCTTCACTCTCTCTCTCCTCTTTTAAAAACCCAAGAAAACCCCCTCTTTCTTCCTCTCTCCTTCTCTCTCGTTCACGAAAACCGCCCTCCACGAGACCGCACAGCCGACCGAACTCACCTCCGACCGCCGACCGCCCAAACCGCGCCGCTCGATGTCCCTCCGGCCTGCACCACCGCCAGCGTCTCCTGCAGCCGCTCTACAACCGACCGACGCGCAGGCCCTCACCTGCGAACAGCACCCGACAAGCCACGGACCGCCCTTCCGCTCCGACCATTTCACCCCGCCAGTCACGCCCTCCAGTCGCCCCGCCCTCGAGCTCGGCTCGACTTCAGTCTCCCCTTCCGCTAGGCGACCACCAAGCCCCCATCGTCGTCCTCCTCCATCCCTCAGCCGCCGTCAACCCAAGCGCTGAACTCCGACGACCAGCCTTGAGCTCTCACCTCGTCGTCGCCTCTCGACGCTGTTCCTCCGCCTACAGACCGCCGACCGCTCGCC